TGATTTATTTCATTTAGCTTTATGGTCCTGGAAAAATTATTATCTTCTATTAACCTTAAATTTACTCATATGTAAAGTATATTTAATAAAGTCTACCTAGTAGTATTACCTTGACAAATTGTGTGGATTTAGCATATGGAGTGAGAGACACAAAGTGTGCAGCAGTTAGTAGGAATTAAAACCTTATCATGTTGTTGTTCTTATAAATAAAATCACTTTACAATTTTTAGTACAATCATCCCAGAAGCATTCAAATGGAATGACCAGTAGGCAACATCAGCAGTTAAAAATGAAAATATATTATGATGAGATAGGTCATTAATAATTATTTGATCCAACTCCTTTACTTAATATACCAAGAACAGTAGGATAAGTCAATAACTTTTACAAGGACACCAGCCAGACAGTGTCAGAGCTTTGATAAATGAAGACAGCTTTCTTATGAATTAAAAATGTCATTATTGGCTCTGAATAAGTACATCAAAGTTTCAAAATAATGTACTACTGAGTAAATGACTACTCTGGCCTTTCAGATAACTAGACTCCTTCCCTACTTTCTTACATAACAAGAATAATTAGCTCATGCATAAAAGACCTATTTTAGCAGATTTCTGACATATAAGCCAAAGGGCTTTGGATCACCTACTAAAGGTTTTTAGAAACATTCCAAACAATATCTCATTACTTTATTTTGTAAAAAGTGGCATTGAAAAATAAAGCAATGTAGTAATGAAAACTGGATACCACTAAAGAAAAAAAGGCAAGCACAAGAGGAACAGGGAAAAATGAAAATTGGAAATTTAAAGAATGTTTTTCCATTATATTGAGAATAAGGGGGGGATTATTCTTATAGAAACAAAGTTTTTCATAATTCTGCACCCTTGTGTGAAAATTATTAGTTTAGTTTTTCCTTTATGTTTTCCATAGTAGAAACAGGAATCTGGTTTGGCAGGGGGTCGGGGAGTAAGGGGGGCTATGTTAAGAGAAATGAAAGAGCTTGCTGGTGTAGCTCAGTGGACTGAGCACAGGCCTGTGAACCAAAGATAAATGAAAGAAAATTCATAGAGTAGATTGACAAAATCAAGCATATTCAACCATAGAAAAATTTTTAGGAATCTTCTAAATAAACATTATATACTTCCTTTACTTCTGCTGACTACCAATACCACAAAAATTATACCACTAACACTTTCTTGTTGAAAGAAATCAACCATGATCTTTGTTTATCTATACAATATCACCATTGATTGGGTTTTTGCATAAACTTCAGATAACTGAAGCTATAGTGCATCTCTTTATTTGAGGATATCTGTGAATATAATTGGCATCCTTTTTAATAAAGTGGCATATTTTATTTTTTTAAGATCTTATTTATTTCTTTTTAGAGAGGGAAGGGAGGGAGAAAGAGAGAGAGAGAAACATCAATGTGCTGGGGGCCATGGCCTGCAACCCAGGCATGTGCCCTGACTGGGAATCAAACCTGCGATGCTTTGGTTTGCAGCCTGCACTCAATCCACTGAGCTATGCCAGCCAGGGCTATAATTGGCATCTTTGTATATTTCAGATAAAGTTCTGTAAGAAAGGGGCTAGAATGAAGAGTTTTGCTTGTTTGTTTTATTTCTCTCTCAAGTCTATTATCTGTGTGAACCTAATATGTAATGGCAAACAGATATTTGAACTGACTCACTGGTGAAAAATAAGACTCTTTATACTCAACATAACATCTGATTATTGTTAAAAAATCAAAGTGAATAATGACCCTATTAGTGTCCTCTGCATTCCTCTTATCATCTGAATGAAAGTTCTCCCATTACAATATTCTTTCAGCATACCTAATTTTGATGAATCTTCTCAGTAAAATATTAAGCAGTTGTTCAGCATGAGAGTAGACACATATCTCAATTGCTATTTTATACCCAAGCACATGAACACAGGAAGGTTGCATAACCAGACGGGCATTTGACATCTGAGTATACATCACATCTTAGCTGTGGTATAAGTGGGACTAGAACTCCACAGCATTTCAAACTCCTGGTTTCACTTTAATCAACAGTCAAGTCACATTGTTTCTGCTTGTGTCAAAGGAATTGACTATTATATACAAAAGGGTTTTTCATTTAACACCGGATTATCATATCTTTGTTTGAAATTAACTAATTCCCTCAGGGTAAACCCAAAGAAAGTGTTATAGCTATTTAATATCCTAAAAATCGGGAATGGGAGAGTTTCCAGAATGTTATTGCTACTTGGTAATTATATTCTCTGCAAAAGTTCATAATATCTATACTGGAGCTGGCCTTCTAACCTGACTTCATTTTAATGTTGTTTAATTAGTAATGTTTAAAATCTATTATTGGGTAAGCATTCATTTTTTCCAAGCAGATAAATGTCCAAGTTTGTGTAAGATTATGAGAAAATTAAACAGACACACACTCATCATATACACAACAATAACAACAACAAATTATTTGAAGAATGAAAACAAAAGTTAATTTTATTTGAACAAAGTTCACAGGCATACTGATGCCATGGAGCATCTTGGATAACTAATATTTTCAAAGCTACTGTCACAATGACATGAAATATTTCAAAATACACTAAGAATAAACTTGAAAAAATAATTTCTCAACATAATTTATAAACTTTTACAAATGGACCGTTCTTCAACTTACACATAAGAATGTTAATGAATTATAATAGATGGGAAATCAAAGCCCCATATTTAATGGATGAAGAGTGTAGACCATAGATGTCTAGAATAATTGTGGAATGTCCTTTTTTTATTTTTCCTTAGAGGTTCTACATCACAGGTTCTGAAGACTATCAAGACCTACTGAGTTCAGAAGCTATTTTTTGATGCTAGTTAATTGTTCATTGAATTAATATATTTTTGGCATAATAAAAACATTTATTATTATTTTTAAGAACATTGACCCCAAAATATTTAGCAAACAAGGTGCATTCAATTGAAAGGCAATTGGAAATAAGCAAATTAAACTGTCAGTGATGAAATATTAAAGTTTATTATCACAAAGTTTCATTTTAAATTCAGAATCAGCTTTATTGCTATACCAGTTATGATAAGCATGAGCCCTAAATCCATACCATAGAGATTTTATAAGCATTATTATAACATGTTAACCTAATTCAATTAATTTACAGAAAATGTCATTCAACAATTTATATTTTTCCTTGCTCTTAAGAAAATGTACTACATTAGAAATCCCAAATATTCCTATAGAGTATGTTCTACCTATTTATCCTTTTTCCTCCTTCCATCTTTGTATATCTTCAGAATATTCAGTATTTTCAGATAGGTAACTGTGCTAAAGGAAAACTGCCTTTCTCTGCCACACCTTAGCATCATTAGGACGATACTGACCTCTAGTGTTGTTATAGGAGGTAGAGAAACTAGCTCAGCACCATGCCTAACTTCTTCTTACTAGAGGACTTAGACGTTTTGTTGTTGTTGTTGTTGTTATTGTTGTTTGTCCCCCCCCCAAAGTACTATCGGGACAATTTCACTTAAGAGAAGAAACAGGAGGAGAAGCAGGGGTAGGTCAGGGAGGAGGGGGAGGAAAAGAAAAATCAGATTCTAACCTGTTTCTTACCTGTTTTCTGAAATAATTTCTAATCTAAGGGCCTTAGGATTAGATCTCTAAAAGGGCCTCCCTTTTAGAGAGGTTGACCTCATCAGCAGAGCTTTAGAATTCAAACTTTAATAAAACCTTTTATAAGCCCTTACCACTAATTATTGATTCTGAATCTCTATAATTCCCAATCAGAGAGTAACACTGGCTCTGCTTTGGATAGTTTTCAGTAAATAGCAATTGTCTAAATCTCTTCTCTTGAGGCACAACTCTGGGTTGAGTATCTTACTCAAGGCCTTCTCAGACCTAAGAAAGTGAGGAGTGAAGCAGAGGGACTCGTAGAGGTGAGTTGTTTTACTACCTTTAGTAATTTTGGCTCAGATTACAAGAAATAGTATTAAAATGTACCATTATGATTAAATATGTCTGAAGTTTCATGGAGTTACCAGATAGTGGAGCAAGCCCAGAAACTTGAGGGACCCTGCTAAACCATCTTTGGAAAAATACAGACATCTTAATTGCATTCTTTCTCATTTAGGAGTTTGAGAGCTGGAAAACTTCCCTTTCTCTGCCTAGAGAGGCAGCTGAGCAGTTGAGCTTAAACCTCTGATGGTTCTAGAGATTTATTCATTTCACGAACTGAGTTCTTTAAATACACAGTGCAGGTGGTGGATCCCCAGGTGTCCAGCCTTCCTGCCTATTAAATTAAATGCTCTGTAGGTGCCAAGGTTAGAGCTTGGAGAACAGAGTGTCCATTTAGTGCACACTGATTTGGCACAAAGATTTTGGAGGTGAGGTGTGCATCAAAGCTCTTCCCCCTGTACCAGGGACAGCCATTGATCTTATGGTTTGACTGCACTGGGCCATGAGTCTTAGGCCAGAATTCCCTATTCTGTTAAACCATACCCATTGGTTGCAAGATACCCCAACTGGAGCCTTTTGCCTAGCAGAGAGCTGAGAGCCCTGTATTGTGAGGCACTGGGTATACTGCAAACTCTAGGCAGCAGCATTCAGAGATGAGCTGTGGTCACCCAGTGTGGTGGCTGGGAGAATCTCTATCCCTGGAGCTCAGCCCCAGGCGGCGCAGACAATCTGAATCAGGGGCCTTCTAGGGAAAAGCCCTGTCTGAAATCACACAGGCACGGAACACGGAGCTAGCGGGAGGCTTAGGGAAAAGACACTTCCAATAACCCCTGAACTTTGAGATTGGAGAGAGGGCAGAAAATCCAGCGAGGCTGGATCATTGGAGCTCTGCTAACTTTTGGGATGGTTAGAGTGATGGAACCATGCTAACCAGCATCTTTTCCCTTTTCATCTGCTCAGAACAGACACAATTGAACACCCTCGTCTTTCCAAATGCTAACGTTTCCCACCTCACTTACCCACCCTCAGCTCCTGATTGATACTTACAATTTGTCGCTGTTAATCCTGGATGCCACAAGCTGGAGAACAGCAAAGTGAAAAGGCTGATCAGCCGTGGTACAGAATCCATTTCCCCTGAGTAAGCGGTCTCTTCCAATCCAACCCCAAATTCGCAGATGCCTGCTGCGGCTTCTTGCCTATCGTCTCTGTACCGCTGACCCCTTCCCACCCACCCCCGTGGAGAATCACTGGCCGCTTCACTCCATCCTGCTCCCAGACGCCCTACCAAACCATAGCCAGTCTTCTCGGAGCTGAAGCTGGAGCTACAGTCCCCGCGGCTGCCGCTGGCGGTGCTCGCTGGCCTAGCTGTCTCGTCGCCCTCTTCACCCCCTCCTTAAAAATGCAAATCCAAATCCAACTGCAACCACAGGCGCCCACTCGGTGGATGCAGGAACAGGAATCAACACCCAGCAGCCGGACAGCTCCTCATAGGCGAGCCCGCTGCTGGGTACCGCCCCCGCTCCACCGCGCAGCGCTCTGCTCTAGATAACTGGCACCTAGGCACCGACCAGCGCTCCACTCCCTCCCGGCGCTGGCTCTGCGAGGCACTTCTGTACGGGGGCAGTACGGGGGAGAGGGGAGTAAGGGGGATGAGTAGGAGTGGGGACGGGTGCCTCTCCTTCCCTTCCCCTCAGTCTCTCTTCCCTCCCGACCCCAAATTTGGGGGTGAGTAAAGGTAATGAAATTTAAACCAGGTTTTGGAAGAACATTGTTGAAGGGATACTAGGAGTTGGACGACAAACGAATTAGAAGAAGTAATATCCCATGGAAAGATTTGCAAAGAGCTAAGGATAAGCTTTGTTGTTGTTGTTGTTATTGTTGTTGTTGTTGTTGTCGTCGTAGTCGTCGTCGTCGTTGTCGTTTAGGTAGGAAACACTTGAATAATGCGATATTATTTACCCAGTGTTTCCCCCCTTGTAAGGAAGGCTGATGGGTATTGATGATGCTGAGGTTTCTGATTTAGTAATTTTACATTCTGTCTGCTCCCTGCCATCTCTCACCCAGCTCCCCTCGCTCATCATTTCACCGCGGAGTCACATCTGCTCTTCTAGCTGCAGGCATTTCGTTTAGGGCAGGTGCGCCCTGCTTTAGGTTCTCGAGCTCAGGTGTTCGCTGGAAGAGGGCTACTGAAGAGGTGAGGGAAACAAATTGGGTTTAGTAAGTATGAGAGGCTGGGGATCCTGGCTGGCTCGTAAGATTTTCCATCCGAAGGGTCTTCTAGAAAGATTTAAGTTTAAAGAAAAGGAAAAAAAAATCTTAGTTTGCGTTTCTTCCTACCGGCTTCCTGGAGGTTCTGTCTTTGGCGTTTAGTTCATATCTGGTGACTCTCCTGCTTTACCATAAATCAACTTATTTTTTTACTGGAAGCTGTCAGAAAGCCATCCAACGTAAACAAAACGAGGGACCACAGTGATTTGTCTTGGTGAAGCTAACAATCACATTGGGGTAGAATCACTTCGGAGGAAGTTGATGTCTCCCTCCCCGCTCCCAAGCAGTAGCAAATATGCAGGCTTATTTTACAGGATAGATTCCTGACGACCTGAGCTCTTCAGCTGCCAGCTCACTGCACAGCTACAGCTTCTGCAGGAATCCTGAGGTTAACCTGTGATTTTGCTTAGCGTCGAACTCATATCATTGGAATACTAAAAGACAGTTGAATGATAATTGGATTAATGACATTGCTATTTTATTAGAGGAAGAATTCTGAAAGTCCTCTCACTTATTAAGTAAATGACCCTCATTCTCTAGCTTCTAACTGAAAATAATTTTCTTTAGTTACTAAATGTTGAGCCACAGGAAGACTTCTCTAACACAAGCTTTAGCTGTGGAAGAAAGGCCATACCAGGAGATTGTGAATCACAAGATGCTGTCCTGTTGGCAGAGGCCTGTTGAGGAGGGGCATGGAATTCAAACTCCAGCTCCTTGGGCTCTCTTCTACTGAGGGCCCCACGGGGCTTCCACCCTAACCCTGGCCTTTAAGGACCCCAGGTTTAAAAGCACTTATGTGGTCAGTTTAATCATACTATAGTCTAGGTAAAAACAAACAAACATATGTTCTTTAACATTTAGATACTTTAAAAGGAATAATGTATTGCAATGTAAATTAAGTCCCTTCTACAAACTTACCTGATCCCAACATCTCCGATCATATCTAGAAATAAACACTTGTTTTTTATTACTGTAGATTGTTTTATATATTTACCATACATATTTACATTTTTAAACAGTATATATATTATTTTGATTGCATTTAACCAATGCATAAATGACATCATATTGTTTCATTTTGCACCTTGCAATTTACTCAACATTATATGTTTTGAAATTTATGCATTTGGATACATATAGTCCTAAGTCTTCCATTTTATCTGCTGTATTATAGTTCATTTTATGAATACACCACAATGTATTCATTAATTCTTCTGCTTATTAAGTTACAGATTATTTCTGGGTTTTTTTCTCAATATAAATGATATAGTCTGATACCTATTATTTTTTCTCAAATATGCATTTGGGAGTGAATGTTTTGACCATAGAAAATGCTTACATTCAATGTTAGTGGATATTGGCAATTTCTCTATAAAATGGTGGTAGTAGTTCACACATCCTCTGCCAACAGCAGTGTGTGAGATTTCCCCTGCTTCACAGCCTTGTCCACCCTTCAGGACCTCTCTGGTTACAAATAGAAAAATGATACCCAGATAACACAAGCCTAAAGTCATCAAGGATAATGGTCCATTATATCATCCCACTTTCTACACTTCTCAAAAAACATGTTTAGTTAAATAAACTACTTCAAAATTATGGAAAATGTTGTGTTTATTTTCTTACAGAATGATGTAATTTGAATCAGTGTCAATAAAATGTGCTTGGATTATATATTAAAAGGCAAACAGGAAAATTTTGTTACAAGAAGCCCTCAAACCTGTGAATGATTTTCAAGTTATTAGTAAACATAGGAACTCTGCATTTATAGATGTACATATGCAGACCCAGTGTATAATATATAAATTGCACCTAATTTAAAGTTCTATTTACTGTTGTAGCTTTTTACTATCTCAAGCACACCTGTTCTCAGAGTAACTTTGAGCCTTAAGCAGCAGACATTTGTCTAAGATTTGTTAACATTTCAGTAAGAATATTGCAGCCCTGAATGAGGTGAGGGACAAACAGCTGTTCCTGTTACATGAAACAATTCCATCTTCTGAGGGCATTTTGCAGCAAGATTTTATTAGCTTTAGAATACTAATACTATTAAAACTTTTCAGCCAGATTGATATTAACCTATTGAAATTGTGTTCTAAACCTTTTAGTCTCATAAATGTTCCTTTTGACCAGTGTAATAGAAGGAAAATTATCTCCCTTTTTCCCTCATGTTGACTGATATAGAAAGAAATCATATTTGCAGAACACTTTGTTTTGAAGAGGCTTAAGAATCCTGTATAGAAAGAACACATTGGTGGCTAATAGGGAATGGGAAATGTTTATGTCCCTTTCATTTTCCCTTAATTTTCTCCTTAAAAAAGTAGGAGAGGAATAATCACTTATAAACTGGTATCTTAGCCTTCAAATATTCAACAAGTATCTTGTCTCATTGATTTTTTAACTCTCCTGTGAGACATATAGAATTTCTATAAGACATATAAATCCTATTTTACAGATTGGATCCTAAGAACAGGAGAACTGACATGTTATATATCATACAGAATTAATGGCCTCAACCATATAACACTTGAAAATGAAAATTTTCCCATTCTATTTCCTTTATGTTTAAAAAGCAAATAGTTAAAACTCACTGTGACATGTGAGTACCTGGTATGTATCATAAAAGAGTCTGCACTGGTTGCAGTAGGCCACTCTGTTTTGAAGTACACTCAGTACTTCATCTTTTTTCATCCTCACCTATTATATGTTGTAAGAACTGAAGAATGACTTCTTTTGCCACCCCTATCTTCAAAATAAAGTTTTTAAAAACCTTCATGTAGCAAAAGGTTAATTAATTATTTTTTATTTATTCTTTCTTTTTCTAATGTTTTAATCTTATTATTTTGTTTTCCCTTTTTCTAGTATGTGGCCAGTAATATACAAAATCTATAGGTATAAGAAATGGGGAAAATGTTCTGCTATCATAGAACTAAAAATGATTTGGGAAAAATGTAAACACATTAAAAATTAAGGTAAGTTGGTATGTGATTAAGTTCTACATGGTTCATATCATAAATGCTGTAGGAGTTTGTAAGTTGACCAAGATTGCTTCCTCTGGGAAGGAAAATTTGGTGTTGGCATAATGGAGTGGTTCTGAAGTTAAAGGAATTTCAGACTGAAAGTAAAACCTGTTATTCAAGTCAGGCTAAGTCAGGTGTGTTTGCCTTAACAAGAAAGTCAAGACTTGCCCTGGCTGGGTGGATAAGTTGGTTGGACTGTCATCCTGTGTACCCTGGGCTTATAGGTTTGATTCTCTGTCTGTGCATATGCCTAGGTTTCAAATTCCATCCCCCATTGAGGTGAGTATGGGAAGTGGCCAATTGATGTTGCTCTCTCTCTCTCCACCCCCTTCCACTCTCTCAAATCCATAAACATATCCTAAAAAAAAGAAAGTCAAGTTTTAAAGTAATGAAGGCAAAAGTCTTTGCAGAAGAGTAGACTTTTCTATTAAAGCAAATGGGTTTCAGCCAAATGTTGAGAAAAAAAAATCCCTTGAGCCTTTCGCTACTACTTCTTTCTCCTAGTCTACCTCGGACTCAATCTTGTCACTACATGCTCATCCTTGATATCAGAATGAGTGTTCTGTTATTCATCTATCTCCTGCAAATAGAACATTTTAAAAACCTTTACCTGTAATGCATGTTTCTCAGTTGTTTAAAAATACTACTTTTTCTTTCTCCTATGAACTTCTCCTTCCTAACTGGCTAAGTTACACTCACCATTGAAGTCTAAATTTAGCTAATACCTCTCTCTTGAGGTCTTCATTTGTTACTGTAATGTTTCTGTTGACATATTTTCCTAACTCTGAGTAGTTTAGCAGTTAGTATTCAACTTTTAGTCTTTAATATAGGTAGTAGGCTTTCAAAAAATG